GGTAATGCCTGGGGACATTTTTGGTTGTCACAGTTGGAGGGGACTGTGCTACCATCATGTAGTGAGTAGGGCCCACCAAGGCTAAATATTCTACGATGTAAAAAACAGCCCCACTCAACAAAGAATGATCTGGCCCAAGCTGACAAGCATGTGACTGAGGTAGAGAAAAAAAGCTGAAAGCTACGGATAAGGTAGGCAGGCACAGCACTGAGCATTCAGCCCAACGCATAGCACAAAAACAATTCCAAAAAGGAACTGGAGACACCCAGAATCTCTGAAGGCTAGGAGAGGGGGTGCAAATAAAAATAGGAGTAATTCAATCCCAAGGATCTCCTCTCCCAGTTCACTGAGCTTGTCAACAGACTTTCCTGCACCTCTCCAGAGGAATATGTGTTTACTTTCTAGAAGAATGGAACCAGAAAGGCCTGGGGACACCAGGTATGGTTGAGGACAGGCAATAAAGCCTTACACTGGAAATGAGTATTAAATGAAGGTATACATATTAGATGTTGACATGTCATAACCCACCATTCCTACTCAGCTTCCAGAACACTGGTATTAAAGCATATACTCCCAAGGCAAAGAAAACAGACCAATCCAAAGGAAAAGATTCTGATACTGACATTTGAGAGGCCCCTGCCCCGAAAATAGCCACACTAGTTCCAAGCTCCAGAAATGACTGACAGAGCATCCAGTCAGCTTTTTAATGCCTCACTCTTAAATGTGATGGGCCAGCCATTTGAGGAAAGGCTCTACAGTCAAAGTTATGGAACAAAACAAACAGAAGATAGGAATATTGAGCAAGAAAATAATACAAGGAGAAGACAAATTTTTAAAATCTATAAATAAGAGTCTCACAGATGAGTGAAAATATTAATATAATGGCAGAAGTAAATTTCCAAAGGTGGAAAGATTCGCTGAAGAAAGTGGAGAGAAAACTAAGAGAGAGAGATGGAAAATAGGAGAGAAAAAACAAGAAAATTTGAGGAGCAGTACAGGAGATTTAACATTCTATCACAGAGGCCCCAAAGAAAGAAAGAAAAATGAAGAGTAGTATTTTTTCAAAGAAATAATGTGAGAAAAGTTCTCAGCTCTAAAGGACATGAGTTTCCAGATTAAATGGAACCACCATGTGCCCAGCACAATAGATGAAAACAGGCCCCTAGCAAGGCACATCACTGCAATTTCAGGATACCAGGAGAGACCATCAAAGGATGGTTACAATAAATAAATCTCAGGAATCAGAATGGCTGAGACTTCTTAGTTGCAACAGCAAAGCTAGAAGTCAGTGGAGAAACATCTTCAAAGTTTGGAAGATACAGTAATTTCCAACCTAGAGTTCTACACCCAGTCAAACTGTCAAAAGAAGAATAAAGAAACTGGGCTCATGCTTGTAATTCTAGCACTTTGGGAGGCCAAGGCAGGCAGATCACTTGAGGTCAGGAGTTCAAAATCAGCCTGGCCAACATGGTGAAACCCCATCTCTACTAAAATATACAAAAATTAGTCAGGCATAGTGGTGGGTACCAGTAGCCATGACTATTTGGGAGGCTGAGGCAGAAGAATTGCTTGAGCCCAGGAGGTGGAGTTTGCAGTGAGCAGAGATTGTGCCATTGCACTCCAGCCTGGACGACAGAGCAAGACTCTGTCTCAAAAAGAGAAGGAGGAAGTTCTTTTTAGTCATGCTAGGTCTAAAAATGTTGCCTCTAACAAGTACTTTCTCAAGAAAACTACTGGCACATGTTTCACCAAAACGAGGGAATAAAATCAAGAATGAGAAATATGTGAAACCCAAGAACGCTTATGTGACAAAAAGTTGTATAAGAAAGGAAAGGTAATCTACTAACTGCTTCAGCATGCTCATTAAAATGTAAACAGTAACTTCTGATTTAATGTAAAAATGCTCTAAAGGTATAGAAAGAATGGGAGAGGGGAAATATGTGACTGAGAGAATGCTATTCTGTGTGTTTCGGGGTGGGGAGGGTTATAGATGGTAAAAGACCAAAACTCATCTTCTATAGGAAAATCAGTAAGTGATATCTGTAACCGAAAAAAAAAAAAAAGATTTAGCAATATGAATAAGTTATTCAAAAATACAGAGGGAAACACAGCTGCTAAAAACTTGAAAGTAGCTGGGCAACTTGAAAATTGCTGGTTGTCATCAACAACTGTGTAGTACTACATGTTTTTAAGCCATTAATACGCATTACTTTCATAAGAATAAAAATACCACTACATAAGTATATCATTAAAAAGGATGAAGCAGGTAGATATGAACACCTTTTAGAATACATTAAACCAAAAAATAGCATCATATTTATGTTTAAAAATCATCTACAACACACACAGGTACTCACACATATAACACTAAATTCCTAGAGAAAGGTTTCATCAAACACTTGAGGGAGAGTGGGATTGGGGTTGGGACGGATGGTGGTAATGGGGGCCTTTCATTTTTTTCTCTATGTATTAGTATTAATTTTTTTCAACAAAATATTTGTGAAGAATTTTTAATGACATAGATAGATGTTCATAGTACATTGTTATAAGAAAAACAAAGTGTATACATTTTGTGTGCTTTCAAAAATGTAACTTTCGAAACTTAACAAAAAAATTAGAAGAATACTTTTGTCTCAAACAAAGTATTACTCAACCCCCAATGTAAGCAATGGAAATTAACCTGCTCTGAATAAAACAGGAGCAGGGATCCAATGCTCTGATCAGTTAGCCATCTACCTGTGAGGCCTTCCAGGGCTCCCAAAGCAACACTGGGGTTCCCGGTGGCATAGTTTGAAAACTACATGTCATAAAAAGGAAGGATGAAAAAACTCAGAAATAGATCTCTGAGATGGGGGATTATGCTTGATTTTTCTTCCACTGTTGTATGATATACATACACACATACCTTTCCTATGATTTGGTACTATTTAAGTAATAGTTATCTGTTCCTGAAACACCTATATAACCACCTAAACCTGACAGATTTTTCGAAGGATGGAGATTGCAATATAGCTTTATTAATCTTTTCAAGTTATCATTCTATATTTATATTGCCTATTTCTCAAGCCAACTATCATTTGTCTTTTTCTAGAAATTTTCTCTTTTCACAATCTTTAAATTTATCAAATAAGTTTAAAATTTTATTCTTTTCACAAATTCAGTTTTTAAAAAGTACTACTTTTCAATTTTACTTTAACAATGTTCCCTAATAAATTAAATTACTATTTCTTTTTCTAGTTTTGGTTATTTTTTATTACTATTCTTTTTTTTTTTTTTTTTTTTTTAGCTTCTTGAAAGTCAAGTTCATTGTTTTCTAAATTTCTTATTTATATAAAAACATTCAAAGCTATGAATTTTCTCCAGAGTGTGGTTTTGGTCACATCCCTAAGGTACTTGTTTAGTGTCCTCATTGTCATTAATTTCTTTTTTTTTTTTTTTTTTTTTTTTGAGACGGAGTCTCGCTCTGTCACCCAGGCTGGAGTACAGTGGCCGGATCTCAGCTCACTGCAAGCTCTGTCTCCCAGGTTTATGCCATTCTCCTGCCTCAGCCTCCCGAGTAGCTGGGACTACAGGCGCCCGCCACCTCGCCCGGCTAGTTTTTTTGTATTTTGTAGTAGAGACGGGGTTTCACCGTGTTAGCCAGGATGGTCTCGATCTCCTGGTATACCACATATTCCAGTATTTTCTAATGAAGCATTCAAGTATACGCCCAAAAGAATTGAAAGCAGAGACTCAACCAGGCATTTGTACACCAATGTTCAAAGCAGTATTATTAATAATAGCCAAAGGGTAAAAACAATATCTACTGATCCAAGCATCTATTGCTGGATGAACAGATATGCAAAATGTGGTCTATACATACAATGGAATATCATTCAGCCTCAAAAAGGCCGGCTATCCTGACATATGGTTCAATGCAGATGAACTTTGAAGGCATTACGCTAAGTGAAATAACTCAGAACAAAAGGACAAATATTGTATGATTTCACTTACGTGAAGTACTATATGGAGAGTAGTCAAATTCATAGAGACAAAAAGCAGATTGATGGTTGCCAGGGGTTGCAAAGATAGGGTAATGGGGAATTGTTTAATGAGTACAGAGTTTCAGTTTTGTAAGATACAAAAAGTTCTGGACATTGACTGTACAAAATATGAATGCATTCAAAACTACCGAGCTGTACACTTAAAAATGATTAACATGGTAAATTTTATGTTATGTATTTGTTACCACAATTTTAAAAAAGTAATCAAGTGTCTAAGTGGTAGACATTCTTTATCTGATTCTACATAGTACTATTTATAATCATAGTAAAACATTTTGAAAACATGTCAAGCGCTAGACTAGTTATGTCATTCAGCTTGTTCAGAAGGCAAACATCAACCTTCTGCTCTCTCACACTCTAGTTCACTGCTCCTATGTCCTTTGGAGGTAGGGATGGAGGCCCTCATACTTAACCCACAAATACTTTATTCTCTGAAAGATAAATATACAAGGGTAAGAAGTAGAAGTGTAATTCTGCTTGAGTTGATCTACCCTAATAAACCTCTATTTGGAAAATTCTTTATATGGAAACATTTCAGTTATAATAGCAGAAATGCAAAACAATCTAAATGTTCTACAGAGTAAATAGAATATTACATAGTTGACAAAAATAAGTCACGTGAATGAAAATGGAAAAGATGTTTTTATAATAGGTGATTTAACTATGTAAAAATACATTCTAAAAAGGGGGAATTAAATATCATATTAATACATAATTACCTTTGAGAAATAGGAATAACAATCCCTCAGTCTTTATACTTTCTATACTTTGCAAATATTCTCTATTTGTTTTGTTTTTTATAATATACTTCAGTTCTATTTTTGTTTTTATAATGTGTTCTTTTTAAAAATCATAATTTTTGTAATTATACTTTAAATCACATCCTTTATTTATTAAAACAAATAAGCAGAAAACAGAGAATAATAAAAATTTAATTTTTTCTTCCCAAGTACTTACATTCTCAGGGATGCTGGGAAGTTCTCTGGTATCAGGCACAGTAAAATAAGAATGCTAGAAAAGAAAAGCAAAAGTGATTTATTTCTGCTAAAATGTTTAACAGTTGCATACTCAGAATTCAGGTAAATGATTGGAAAATATTTTCTTACTCAGATAAGGAAACCGTTTCACTCAGAAGAAACACCCATGGAATATTTTCTTTGGATAATGTCAGATTGAACCAGATGCATTAAATCATCACTCTGGTAGATGGAGTTCTTTCCTGTGAGAGGAGAACTTCTTTGGGAGATATAAATGAAGAGTTCAGGCCAGGAGTGTTGGCTCATGCCTGTAATCTCAGCACTTTGGGAGGCCAAGGCAAGTGGATCACATGAGGTCAGGAGTTCGAGACCAGCCTGGCCAACATGGTGAAACCTCGCCTATACTGAAAATACAAAAAAATTAGCCAGGCATGGTGGCGGGCACCTGTAATCCCAGATACTCGGGAAGCTAAAGCAGCAGAATCGCTTGAACCCAGGAGGCGGAGGTTTCAGTGAGCTGAGATCGTGCCACTGCACTCCAGCCTGGGCGACAAGAACGAAACTCTGTCTCTAAATAAATAAACAAATAAATAGTTCAAAGAAGTTAAATGGCTAAACACATGAAAGGCGTTGGTTTCAGAATTTATCGTTCAGTAAGGCAAGTGTATTCTAGGAACAAAATATCACCAGATTCACTCAGTGATGATTTTTACCAACCAAACCTGTCATCTCATTTCAGCATCTGAGATTATATTCATCTACAAAATGTGACCAAAATCTGCCCCAAAGGCCTAAGTGATGTCCGGAAGAGCTCCAGTTGCTGGAGCACTGGAACTGAGACCACTGCAGATGACTAAGAGTAGAGAAATTCTGCCCCCGAAGCCCACTCCATCATAAGCCTCCTGACTAGAGACTCAGTGGAGTTGAAAACTTGACCTCTTCAAAGAACTTCCAATGAGGCATCTCCATATGTAACAAGCATGCATCCCTGAGTTAAATGACAACAGGCTGAACTGATGACACCCTTTGCTGCTATTAAAGACTCAGAAGACAATGGCAAGCAGGAACGGAAAGAGCTTGGTGGCCGGCCAATTAAAGATGGGATTGTGCAAAGGCCAGGAAAGGTCACATGCAGAGAAGGTCAGCTTAGCCATGGCCTAGGTTCAAACCTGGACCCCCAAGTGACATTTCAAGAAGTTGTGCACCCCAACCCCCACTCTTGGGTGATTGCAAAATAGGTAGGTGTCTAGAAGAATGAGTTGTATAGGCTTTCTGAAATGAAAGGCCCTGAGGACAATCATAATGATGATGATGACAACAATAATAGTGTAAGGTACTTGTCCAATATTCAACAGATATTTGTTGAATACCTGCTACATGAAAGGCATTATGTCTAGTACTCTGTAAATGTTATCTCTAATTCCCATAACAAATTTTGAGATAGATATTATCTCCATATTACAAATGGGTAAATTAATGCTCACAGAGGTCAAGTAGCCAGTCAAAAGTCACGCAGCTAGTGCGTGGCAGAATATGGACCAAAACTAAATCTGTGTAACCAGAGTTGTGCTCTTTCCACCATGACAGACTGTTATACCTGTGCTTTTTATGTGCAGATGACAGCTAAAGGGATTTAAACAAATAAAAAAGTAAAAAATAAAAAGTATAAAATAGATAACTTTAAAAAAGCCTTCTTCGATGCATTATTCCAAAATCTGTGTGTATATCAAAATACTACCTATGAAGTATTTCAGTAGAGATGGTGTAGCATGGAAACTAGTAAGTGATTAATTCAACAATGAGGATTAAAACAGGAAAAGTAAAATGCAAGGTTCAAATATGACTCCATGAGATACCAACTTCTATACCAAAGGGCTAGAAGTTTAGTTCAGTAACAAATGGCCATGTGGTGATTATGTAGCTCAGCAAATTCACTTAATAGCGCAGAACCTGTTTTTGAATCTGTAAATGGGAATATTATCTACTTCAAAACTGTTGTGAAGAATAAATGTTATATATATGAAATGCCTACCATTCAATAAATGGTATTTTAATATAAAATTATTACTGCCCTGAACTGCTAGTTCATATTACTATTTTTATCATCACTCATATAAGACACATAGAAATATACTCTTGCAGAGAGTGACTACAGACAAAAAGTCCAGGATTACAATTTTATCAACATTTCAGGATGTATAACCTAGATGAGAGTGGCCCTTCAAAATCAGAAACGCAATATGGAGAGAGGAATTCCCAGTGAAAAGGAAAGAAAAAAATATCTGCCTTTATAGATGCAATTGATAGTAAATAGTGAGCCAACACAATTCCAAAACCAAGTAGTCCCCAGGCTGTCCTTTGAGATTCTGTCTTGCTCCATTGCCCATGAAATGCTGGGGACCAGGGGAGGTCAGAAACATTCCTAGAAACCACTGGCATGAAACAGCTGCGCCACCCCAGCAGTTCCTGCTGCCCCTGAGATGGCTTGTCCTTGAGGCCTGGCATGCACACTGCCTGAGCAGCCATTCTTAGGAAGGAGAGGATCTTCCTCCCCAGCAGCTGGTGACCCAGCCAGGCTACTCCACAGCTACCTGTCGGATGTCATTATGGACTGAAGTGGTGAGATCAAGCTGCTTAGGAAAAAGGACAGAGACAAAGGCAGGGTTGCTTAGCTATACAGCAAGGACTGGGGCAGGTTTAAAGCTCATTTGTTCATCTTTTCCAGATGGTCTCCCCTGCCGTATGAGAATTTTTGTAACAAGGTTTCTTTCTTTCCTATGCTCTATTAAAATGGGCAAAAGTCTCTGTAAATTCATTTTTTTCTTTCTTCCTTCCTTCTCTCCCTCTCCTTCCACATGAATGGCACAGTGGGAAGAACATAGGCTTGAAGTTAGCCCTGGCTTTGAAAACTCAAGTCTTATCTCTTATTAACCACACGACCTTGGAAGGGCAAGTATTTTTTCCTCTTGAAATCTCATCCATGAAATGGGAATGTTAATATCTATTTTGTAGACTTGTTTTGAATATTAGAGATACATATTTAGTATAAATTAGGAACTTACTAAAAGAGTAGATCTATTATTAACTACTGGTAGTAACACTGCTTTCAATTTTATCATCATTCTGAAAAAACCTATAAGGGATATTAATTTTCTTTAGGAGAGGAGATACCTTTCCACCACTGAATACCAACACTGTACCAGGTTCTAATGAAGATGAAAGACAAAACTCTTAAAATTCTCAGGTCCCATGACATAAGGGAAATAGCCCCTGGATAATAATCAATACTTGCTCAAACTATATCCATCTGAGAATTCTGATGAAGGTAGTGACAAGGGCTTGAGGGTTTGACCTAGGGAATTAGATAATTCCTGGAACCAAAATATGGAAAAGATCTCCTACACCTCTTCTGATGCCTTATCTGACAGATGAGGAAATTGAAGCCCACAAGGTTAAAGGTCCTGATTAAGGTCACTCAGGTCATTGGCAAGACAATGACTAGGATGGAAATCTCCCAATTGGTATTTCAGAGCACAGTGCAGAACATGTAGTAGCAGCATATATTTATAGGCATTCAAAGAAACTATTACTGTAGGCCAGGAACAACACTAAGCACTCTCCCTCTCTGTCTTCAAGGGACACACAGTCCAGTGAGGGGGATAGGAAAAGGATGCATGCCAATAGGGTGTAACTAAGTACCACAAAGTATGCAAGATGCTTGGGGCGAAGGAGGTAAACTTGGAAAAACCTATGAAGTATCAAGGGAGGATTTCTCTGGAAATAAAATCAGAGTTGAGTTCTGAAGGATGAATATGTGTTACCCTGGCAAACAGGGGAGAGGAAATGTTGAAAGCTGAGGGTGCAGGATGGGCTTCAGCAAAGGGACACGCACAGCAGTGCTGCAGGGCAAGGGTGATACAGGGAGACTGGGACAGGGAACTGAAGAAGCAGGCGGAGCCAGGTATCTTATTTCAGCCCAGCATCTGTGATCCAAGAGATGCTGGTGATGGCATGATGGCTACAGAGGAGCCTAGGGACATTTAGGACGTGTCTGCTTCTTATAGAATCTCAGAGAAAGGAAGAAATTCAGCTCCCTGGCCTATCTTGAGCTCAGAGGTATCAGAGTATTTGGGGGTAGGGGTAGGGTAGGTAAAGGTGACAAAATACAATCCTGTTCAGCTACTTCCTTCTTACTGTCAATAATGAAATGGGTTCTCAGTGATGGCTAATACTCTGCCCCACTTACCACGCTGAGATGAACAGACACTCCTGGGTCAGGGATGGGAAGTTTGTGCAGAGTTTCAAGAAGCTCATTCCACTGATTTTCCTGAAAGAAATAAAAGACCTAAGTAACAAAAGCAAGGCTCAGCCCTTAGTAAGATACCTGCAGGGAGGTCTGGGCACACATGACTGAGGGGGTTGGGGAGATGCTGGCCCCAGTACAGAAATAGGTTTGATATTCACATAGGGTTTGACAAAAGACTCTGCGTATGCCTCAAACATAAGAGCCAAATAGATCCTCCTACACCAAGTTTGACATTTTCTACTCAGTGAGACACCTACCATGACCGCCTTTTATGGATCATATACCATAAGCTCTCAGCAAATCTATCCCCTAAACTCCATAGCAACAACTTTTAAATGCAAACAATCCTAGCTTACAGGGCGGGGGTGGTTGGAGAAATAACGATGACACTATAGATCTTGTCTTCATCATCATTACTCTCAATTAATTTTATTGAGTTTCACTGGGTACACATGGCAGCCTCCAATTATGGAAAGTTAGAAATGAACTAAGTACAACAGCATGCAATATAGGATGGTGGCTATGCATTCTAATTCGTGAAATTGAGCAACATAATGACATACAAAGCGATACAAATTATTTGATTGAAAATGGATTCACCTCTAAAATGCTCAAAAGAATACTGCTCACAGAATTATCCAAATGCTATTTCTCCCACCCTGTGTAATTATTTGTGCTAATATAATACTGATAAGTGTATGTTTGTATCTATTTATCCTCTATTTGATCCTCCCAACTACCCACTTCAACAATGTGAAAACTGAGGCTCCAAAAGGTGAAGCAACTTGTCTCAAATCAGCCCGTTAGTAAGTTGTACAGCTATGGGGTGAAATGCAGGCTCCAGAGCCCTCCTGGCTTCACTACAGCTTTCTTTAAGTAGTGAATTTAAGGAGAGGAAAAAGAAGATGTACCCAGACTACAAGCTTGTTTCAGTCTGAGCTCTGACAAATCAAACAAGCTTCTAAGAGAGGAGAGAGATGAACGTGTGTGTGTGTGTGTGCGCGCGCGCGCGCATGTGCTTAGTTTTGCTCTGAAACAATCTCAAACTTACTGAACAGTTGTAGAAACTGTTAAAAAAAAAAAACTTTATTATTTCCTGACCTATTTGAGAATAAGCTGCCAAGATTATGCTCCACCATCCACAGATACAAACAAGGGCATTCTCCTAAATCACAATTAATCATTGCTGTGGTTTGAATGTATCCCCCTAAAAGTTCATGTGCTGACAATTTAATTATCATTGTAACAGTATTAAGAGGCAGGACCTTTAAGACGTGATTATGTCATGAATTAATGCCATTATTGTGAGAGTAGGCTTCTGATAAAGGATAAATTTGGCCCCTATCTTGTGTCTCTTGTCTTGAGTGCTGCATGTTATGACCCAGCAAGAAGGTCCTCACCAGATGCCAGCACCAGGCTCTTGGACTTCCCAGCCTCCAGAACTGTGAGCCAAATATATCTATTTTCTTTATAAATTACCCAGTCTGTGGTATTCTGTTATAGCAGCAGAAAACAAACTAAGAGAATCATAATAAAGAGGAAATTAACACTGAGATGCAGAATTACCACCTCATCCTCAAGTTTTGCCAACTGTGCCAATAATATCCTTGACAGCAAACAATCCACTTCAGAATCACATGTTGCAGTTAGTAGTTATAACCCTCTACTCATCCTCAGTCTGGAACAGTTCCTCAGTCTTTTCTAGATTTGTACAGCCTTGACAATGAGACCACTCATTTTGTAGAATAACTTTCAGTTGTCTAATGTTCTGTCTAATGTCTGATTTCAATATCCCTTTACTCATGATGTTTGCTTTCATCAACTGATTAATTCATTTGATATCTCTACAGTAACATTACTCTTTCTCTTTGCAGTAGATAACCATTTTGTGGATTGACACTCTATGTAAATATCCCATTCCTCAAACTTTCAATGTATCGGTTTACTTATTTTTATTACCATGGGCCCATGGTTTCCTGTTTTATTCAGTGTACTATAATCCTTTATTATCCTAATTCATTTTGATGTTCAACTTGTTCCAGATATGACTAGTGGGAGTCCTCTTACTGCTTTTGTGCCCTTCTGACATGTTCCCATCATATTTTTAGCAATTCCTTACTTTTTGGCACAAAAGATATTTCAGGTTCATCTTATACTTTCCCTGCCTCAGCCCCAGAATCAGGTTATTTCTTCAATGAGTCCTGGTTTCTTTTAGTGGACAATGGTATTTAGAAACCAAGATCTGGGCACCACGTGTGCTCACTGCTCCTTAGTATTGCTTATGCCAGGCCCTTTCAGTCAGTGGAGCCAGATAATATATAATACACACATGGAACCACAATAGGCACTTCACATATCTATTTATTTCTATATCCATCTTCCCATATTGAAAACCATGGGTTCATACCAATGGCTCCTATTCCAATCCAACATAGAAATTATTCTAGTTTTCTCCCTCTACATATCTGTGACATCATCCTACAAAAGTGAAAAAACTTTTTATATTTGGTTATTTGTATGGAACCACTCTTCTATTGCCATCCCTGCCTCCTTCCCTACCCAGATGCCCTCCCTCCTCTCCCCGACACAGACATCCAGGGCTGGGTCTCTACTGTCCAACCCCTCACACAAATGCCTTCCTTACCTCAGGATCCAATACACCAGCACTGGGCCACAGCTACTGCCTCCCTTCTCACATGAATTCTTCTGGATCCTATTTGAGTTCTGACATCCCATGCTGAGCCTCTACCACCATGCTCCCACACAAACATCCTTCTCTCCCTCAGGCTCCAACACCCTACTCCCTGGCTCAGATGCCCCCCTTGCCCTGTCATCCCTTCCACAAGGGTGGCCATTCAAGGTCTGATGAGCATGATGGGTCCATGGCCCAAACGGATACCCCAGTTACCCACATCTTGTTCTCCCACACCCCATGCTTAGCCATCACAATCTCTCCGTCTCTGTCTCTCTCTGCCTCTCTCTCTCTCTCACACACACACACACACACACACACACACACACACACACACACAGAGAGAGAGAGAGAGAGAGAGAGAGAGAGAGAGAGAGAGAGAGAGAGAGAAAATAGAAGCCTCTCTTGCTTCCCAACCTTCCCAATGACTTTTGGATAAGAGAAGGTTTCAGCCCTGGTGCAGGAGGTAGATTCTGTTTCTTTAAATAAAAACTCTCTTCCTGTTCTAATCTGGTGACTAAAATCTTGCAAACAATTAAGCCAGTTGTAGGCAGATTTCCTATCATCTGTGTCATAATTCTTTTAACCAGAGGGGGAAAAAAAGAGTCCTGGGTTCAAGAGAAATAGATTCCAACTAAAACATGTTACTGATCTCAGCCTCTGACATCCCAAGAGGCAGAGTCCTGCTGGAGCAATGGCCCAGGGGAAAGGTTCAGCAATTTTACAGGGTAATAATCCATTTCCCATATGTGTAGGTTGTACCTACCCTTTTATAAGCTTTCCTGAATCACATGTTTTAAAAAGTGTACTAAGTTCTTTGTTTGACTGAGTTTTTTCTCTTTTTTTTGGACTGGAACATATGGAGGGAAAAAAATGTGAGTCAATCTCCAATTCAAACCTGTTAAGAGCCCACATATTACACAATTCTATTTATTAAAGACACCTTTCAAACTTGAGTAAAAACTGGAATGTTTGACTAAAGGTAACTGTGAATCAGAAATCGATGAACAGACCCAAGGTGACCTCCTAACTCATTCATCAAAGAGTAATCCACTTCTTTTATGACAGAATCCCCTGACATCTAAGCTTCTTTTCACAGTGAGTGTAGTGATCAAGGAAGCCATTTCTATTAGTTATTCTTTCCACTTACTGTGACCTCCGGAATACATTTGCCAGTGAGTAAATCTGTCTCTAAAAAAATGATTTAGTCATTATACACAAAATTTCCCCCTTTCCTCCAAAACGGCATTTCCCTAAGTGTGTTCCAGGAAACACTGCTATCTCAGAACGCTAAGATTTATCACAGAATTAAAGGGGATTCGGGCAAAACAAGATGGGAAGCACAGGTGACCCAGGTTTCTCCAATGCAGGACTTCGTAGAGCTTACATTAAATGAATCTTAAGGAGATGGAAATGAAACACAGGTTTCCCTCCCCTGGACCCCAGTGTGACTGAACTGGTACCCTTTTCATGGACCATTTCTCAGAACTAACACTCAAATTACTCAGAACACTCAACAGAAAAAAATTAAGGGAAATCTTTCCTTAACATTTAATAATAATGGATCACTTTAATTAAAAATCTTAGGCCATATACGAAAAGGAAAATATAAGACATTAGATATATAGACAAATATTCAACTCATTAACAATCAAAGAAATGCAATTAAAACAATGAGACTTTTTTACTTGTCAAACAATGAATTCAACAAATGGTACTGATGAGAGAGTATCATGACCTAGGCACTCTCTTACATTGCTGGTAAAGGGTATCCTTTAAGAAAACAGCAGAATTCTTTTGCAAAGCAGTTTGGCAAATGTTTTAAAAATGTCTATGTCCACTGACCTTACAATGGCCCATCTGGGATTCTCCTTTTAAGGAAACAATCCAAAATGAAGAAAATGCTTTACTCTCATAGATGCGAATGGTTACACTTCTCATAACAGTAGAAAAATCCCAAACAATTAACAATTCCCAATAATAGGAAATGCTTCAGTAAATCAAGGTACATGATAAAATGGTATGCAGCCATGAAAAATATTTATAACATTTTTAACAGTGTGGGAGGCACGCTCGTTATAATGGTATCTGAAAATGTGGGCTACAAAAATCTACATAAAGGTCCAATTGGCCTTTGACATCCATGGAAGATACCTTATCTTACCACTTCTTCCAAAAGTACAGCAAGGTACAGATGAATTTTTAATGTAATTTTCAGACCCCCACAAAAGTTATTGTAAAAGCACCACAAAGCTTTATTGAAACGGGAACTCAGGACAGCTGGGTAGGTCACTTGCCAGTTAAGTGTTTTACTTGCAAACCCCAGATTTGCAGCATGACATGAGCAATTCAAATACGTGCCTCAGCAAAATTATAATTTAATACATGTCACAAACTTTCCGGGCTGCTTGGGAATATTAGAAATTGTGAACATTAACTCTGTGAATGTTAAGGGTCTCTTTATCATTTATTTAATGCAAAGAAAAACTTAAAAAAGAAAACCACCCAAAATGCTAGCAATATTTATTTTAGGGAAGAGAGTAGGGGCAAATTAAAAGTGATTTTCTTTTCCTTCCTATTATTTTCTGAATTTCCCAAACTTTCTATAATGGGCATGCATCACTTTTTTGGTAAAATATAAGGCATGTTTTACTTTTTCATCATAAAAATTAAAGCTTATTTGTTAAAAAGAATTATTTTAAAAAGGCAAATACCTGTCTTTTTGTCGTATAATCTGCTAGGATGTTAAGCAGCTTATAAAATACCTCGAACCAGGGGAGATAGCTGGAGGAAGAAGAGGAAACACATGACATATTAGTATGCAGGTCAAAAACTTTATCCAGGATCTAATTCAAGACTAATACATTTCAGTTTTGCTCTACATCCTGAAGAGTCCTCCTGTCACAGACTGGTGGAAACACAGACTGGTGAAATGCTAATTATTTCTGAGAGTTTAAAAAATTGCCTGTGTAAGGCAGAGGATTGAATGTCCATTATAAATTATTCCCATGCCTCAGAGCTAGAACAGTTCACAGAAAAGAAATTCAAAGCAGACTCCACAATCAGGCACCATCTCTGAGTAGTCCCCTGGCCTCTCCCAGCACACCCACCCTTGCCAGGAAAGCTTCTATTCAGTTTTTCATGATGGGACACACACACACACACACACACACACACACACACACACACACACACACAGATACACACACAGCATTCCCACTGCAGGCATCTGCAAAGGGTCCCAAAGTCCCCATGAGCCCAAAGCCATCCATGTTGCTGCAACAGACATTCTGCCCATCACCCACCATCTCTCTATCCACTTCAAGATGAGTTCCACTTCCCCATCTCTACTGCCCTCCACCAGATCCTGGCCATTGCTCCCCTTCACTCAGAGGAGCCTGGCTGCTGACCTCAGTCCTGTGGTCCACTCTGTGTGGCTTATTTTTTTGTTTGTTTGTTTTGTTTTTCTGAGATGGAGTCTCACTCTGTCGTCCAGGCTGGAGTACAGTGGCATGATCTCGGCTCACTGCAACCCCTGCCTCCCAGGTTCAAGTGATTCTCCTGCCTCAGCCTCCCAAGTAGCTGGGACTACAGGTGTGCACCACCATGCCTGGATAATTTTTGTATTTTTAGTAGAGATGGGGTTTCACTATACTGGCCAGGCTGATCTCGAACTCCTGACCTCAGGTGATCTGCCTGCCTCGGCCTCCCAAACTGCTGGGATTATAGGTGTGAGCCACCTGGCCATGGCTCTTAGAATGGTTTTTCTAAGATGCAAATCTCCATCACACATTGTACTTAACTCCTGCAATGATGCCCATCACTCCAGGATCCAGTCCATATTTGTTAGGATGGACTTTTGGGGCTCTTCACTGCCAGGCCCTTGCCCACTTCTCCGGCTGTCCTCTCTCTACTTCCCCATAGATATATGCTCCCCTCACTCCTGTCACTCCGGGAACATCCTGGCATCTTTGAGACTGCCTGGGCTTACATGCACTGGGCCCTTTTCTCCCCAACCTCTGTGGTCTAGTCTAGCTGATTTCTACTCATTCTCCTAACAGTCCCCCACCCCCTCCCCATCCCCACTTCATGTGCCCTAATTCTCTCTTTTCTGTGCTGCCCTGTCATGAGAATGCTGCTGTCAGAACATTCCCCACACGATGCAGTTCTCAATGGCATGTCTGTTTTCTCAACAGACCACATGCAAACAGAGAGGAAGAGGCCTATCTTTCTTCATTTTGTCTTTCCAGTGCCAAGAACGGCACCTGGCACACCGTCAGTGCTCAGCGTTTACTGAGCAAATAAAACCAGACAAAGACTGACAGCAAGGGCGCATGCATCCTATGGAATTGTTGAAAAGTATCCACACCCCCAAGCAGTTTTGCCACTTACTTTCAATGGCTTTGTTCTCTATAAGGAAATTTTCCGAAGCTACATCTAACAGCAAGCGAGAAGAAGGTCGTACCAAGCGCTTGCCGTCCTGGTCATGTCTGCCCTGCTGCGCTAACAGAGTCCATTACCGACAGAGATGGACACGAGGTAGCGCACAGATGTGATATCCTGCCAGGGAGAGGGGAATCAGCACCCTGTACAGATTACCGGCTGCGCCACTGAGGGTAATAAATGAAGTGAGAGGCAACAAAGAGAACAGATAAAGTGCACAGTCCTCTGTCAGTAACGTCTGTCTAAAGCCAGCACATGCTACTGTAAAATTTAAGTAGCTTATCAAAATATACTGATAAGCAACTTAACTTTTCACTTCTATGACAGTATTATCACTTATGTTAATATGTTTCAGTCAGCCCTGGCAGCTGCATATTGACTATTACACAGCAAATGACTGCTGCCACTTTGCACAGCATTTACTTTGGCAGGGTAATGTAAACATTCAAGAGGGATTAGGGAGCAGATAAGTTTCTCCTTTCCTATTCTGTTAAATAAACCTCGGCTGAGTTAAAAGCCATTATAGTATGAACAAGAAATCCCCTCAGAAGAAAACTCTTGCACAGATTAGATGACTCTTAGTAAACAAATTCGACCAAGGATTACAAATTTTTTTTTCCTGAAAGCAAAATACCACTAGTTAAACCCAGCCACTGGAAATTTAGGAAATTAAATTTTTTTTTCCTGAAAGCAAAATACCACTAGTTAAATCCAGAAAGTCAGGAGGGAGGGGGGAAAAGGCAAGAAGGGGAAATAGATTCTTGCAAGAAAATTGTGACTTCAAGTAAACAAGAGAAAAACTGAATCATTTTAGAAATATTTGGGGATGTGATATGGGGCAGGCTGGGTGCTCTGACAGTTTAGGACTACAGTATCCATCGAAGTAGTTTTGGATGACTAGGTTCAACTGACCAATGTGGCTTGGGCACAGAAGCTCCAGCCTCCACGTTGTCACCTGTTTTGAGGATGAAGGAGAAGAAGTGGGAAGGAGTTCCTAGCCCACTATAGACGGCACCCTGGTTCTCGTACTCAGCCTCAGCCTTACCAAATCAATTCTTTTTGGCTAGGCTAAGCAGAACCACTAGCCACAAGAAGTGTTGCAGTTATCCTGGAAATCAGCCATTTCTTTCTCCCTTTGGCCTGACTGGACACAACTGTTCCCCACATGTTGTCCCCTGTGCACTGACAGATGAATATCTAGTGATGGCAGTGTTAAGGTTTTGAAACCAAAACCCAGCTGTCTTCTTCTTCAAAGGGCCCCTGTTTTCCCCTGTTGAGAGGCCAGGGTTCACAGCAGAGCTCTATCCAGCGGCGTTTCCTGTCCTGCTTCATTAGAGCCGCCACAACAGCTTGCGTGGTCTGCCAGGCTGCAGGTGAGGCCGCAGGGACCCTGCACTCCAGTCTGCGTGTGTCTGTCATCGTTGAATAAACAATCCTTCCCAGTCCAAAGACAGAAACAAACACCCTAGTACACTGCACCACCTTGGACATCTAATGGGGTGCGACCATCTGTGGTCCCCCTCTGCCTGCTGCCTTTGTGTGATGGCTTGAGTCCCCACTGCAGAGGGCTCTGTCCCAGGCTGTGGCACAAAGGGTCCTGCACTCAAGAAAGCTATGGTCCTCATCAGAAAGAGACACACCCACAACAGAGTAACAGTTTGGGTGGAAGGAGCTGGAAGCCTTTCCCAAGTGCTTTACTTAGTTTAGGTTTTTGGACTGATGTAGAAGATGATCATGGAGCATCATCATGACCCAATCAGAAGACAGAAAAGCGAAAGGGAACAGCCTGTTCCCGAAGCACCTGCCTGGATCCAGGCTTCTCTCCCTTCTCACCCACTGTGGTTCAGGTAACTCTGTCCCAGGCTCTGCCCTCACTCCCAGGCCTGAGAGTCAAATGGAGAGGCTTGTGTTTCACGTGAGGTTTTAAAGTTTTAAACTTGAGAAGTTTCCTCCACCCACTGCCTTCCCAAACTGGAGTCCCACCGGCCCTTGTAAGGAGGGCAAGGGCAGGTTCTAAAGACAGCAGTTATGGCAGCAACAGCCCATAGTCAAAATCACCCTGAAAAAGTCCTTAAATTACCCTCCAAATATGGCGGACATGGTCTGTGTAAACACAAAGCAGTTACCTGAGTTGTGGGGTCAAGCTGAATGACAGCATCCTGCATCTAAATCTGTCGACCAGGTGAGCTGCTGGCTCTTGAGCTGAACTGAGAGCAGAGGAATCCCTTTTCTAATCTCACTCCACTTGGGATAATAATCACTCTAACTGGTGAGTTTGTGTACACATGGATGACTGGCCTTGTGTAAGTTCAGCGTGAATATAAAGGGATTCCACTTCTTTAAGTATTAAAACAGAAAACCATTAAAAACTTTTAAGAGCTCTCTGACTCCTCTTTCTACTAGTTCAGTTCAAAGCCATGAGATGGGACCAGGCAGGGTAGGTATGGAAGAGAGCAGGGGGCAGGGATAGTAGGAGAGGCTGACCAAGTTGAGGAAGGTAGCAACCACCTGGGAGAATGCTGGTCCACAGCAGGACGTCAGACTCAGGTGAGGAGAGGAGGTTGCCTTCCCGGAGGGGCAACCTGGTGTTAGAGTCCAAGTGGGAGGAGAAGGGTGTCCCACTGAGGGGTGATCCGGCATGGTGTGCTGGGGCCTAAGCAGAGTGAGAGGCCTGGTAAGGGAAAGTCAGTGTCCGAGCAGAATGTGGAGGGAGTCTCCATGGGGGAGGCCTGACTTGGAGTTTCATGACTCAAGGGGGCAATGAGGGGTTAGGCCTGGCATGGGATAAAGCATCTATGTTGAGCGCAGGGACTGACCAGCAATGGTATTAGAACCCAGAAGAGTATAAAGAGCATCTGGAAGGCAGTTTGATGTGGGATGTCAGAGCCTGAGGGGTGAGGGGGCTTCCACAAAAGGGGCAGGGGCCGGCGAGGCAGAGTCCATGTGGTTGAGAATGCTGTCCATGATAGGAAGGGGCAGCAGCAGCTCTGCCTGAGGTGCCACAGTCCAAACAGTAGCACATGCTACTGTAAAAACAGCGTGAGGAGGGTGGCACTGTGTGGAAAGGGGGCTGCAGCAGAGGACTGTTTACAAATGGGGAACAGATCAAGACTGACCAAGCAGGTAAATATATAACGGGAAGCAGGTGTCTTACTATCAGAAGAGAGTTACAAATCCAGTTAGGGAAAGAATGGGAATGAACCCCATGGGTTCATACCGGAACTGAATGTAACTATGGGGAATCATGATGTTCTGCAGACAGGTGGTAAAGTAGAGACTGATAAAATAAATAGAAATAGAAATCTATGTACATACATATATTCTCTAGTTTTAGCCACTGA